CACTATGCCGCCTTGGTTATTTCCCCTCCAATACTGGGTGTTTTCTCCCCTCTGATCCCCAGACCAGATTTTGTGGGAGCAGCAACACACTTGCTTTGGGCAGGAAGAGCAACGTGAACAGGAACCTGAGGTTAAGACCTAAGTGAGAAAAGCCCATAAGGGCACTTTTTCTGCAGCTTCAAATATTAACGTTATAAAAGAAAACTTGCAGCAAATCCTATTTTTAAAAGTTTCTCAAAGGAGCTTTGAGATAATTTTAAGAAGCCAACTGCCTGTAAGACATTTGACATCCAGAAAAGAGAACAGTCTCTGGATGCAGAAGCACTTTTTCTTTCCTCAAAGCCTACATTTAAAGTGTCACTGGCACAGTGAGGACAGGGAGAGAGGCAGAGCTCGGGGTTTCATTTAAGTTTTCTTTTTTAACTGACCAAGCTACAAGCCTGGCGCCTGGCTACAGCTTCAGCTTCCCCTGAAACCACTCATGCTTTTGCCTGTGTGGCCAAGTGCTGAATTGGCAAAAGCTACCTTTGCAAAACCCGTTTTGCCAGAACACCTTTTTGTGCTTGTATTAAAGAGGCAAAAATGTAGATAAAGCTTTTGCCAACGATATCTCGGTCTATTGGAACAGACATTACAAAGGGATAAAATAAACTACCACTTCCTCAGTGTTCAGCTCTCCAGCACTAGAGACGAATTTGCTCCTCATGAAGGAACTCAATGGTAGGTGGATAAACGTGAGGAGAAAAAAAGCAGGGGTGCCTGTTTCAGCTCCTCTACGCACAGGATGTGCGGAACTATAAAACAGCAGGGAAAAACAAGAGTTGGAAAAGACATTTCTACAAGGATTGAAAGGATTCCTGGAAAGAAGAGGGACAATTAACACACACATGGAAAAAGCTCCTCAGTTAGGATGTCATTACTAACTTCTTTTTTTGTCTTTGGTCACTAAAATTATCTCTACAGGGAGCATTAGTAAAAGGAAAGACCTGAAAAGATTAAAATGCACATGCAGCTGTTCCCTCCCGTTTAGCATGCTTGTTAATCCCACAGGGATTACTGAAGTGAAAGGACAAATACAAGAAAGAAAAGGTGATGGGGAGCACACACACTTCGTTACAAACTGGTACTTGACATTTCTTTTAGTTACAGAAAAGTTTTAGGACGCTGGCGACTAATGTAACTCCCTAATCCTTGGCCAGCTTCAGAAACCCTTGCCATGAGGTCAAGGTCAGGACAAAGTTAGTGCCTTAATAAAAGAGGGAATATGGCATCTCTAATGATTGCTTCTGGCTGTTTTTCTCCTCACCTATAATAATGCCACAGTGATTGTTTGCTTTCTTAAAGGGATGCAAAGCTCTTTGCTTTACTTGCTGACCGACCCTCACTGCCCACCCCGCGGCACAGCTGGGGACCTGATGGTGGGCCTACAGGATGGATGTTTTGTGCTGAAGACCACAAAGGGCTGTCTTCACAGGGAAGTTTCAGTGAAGGTAGAAGAATCCTGTTAGCATAGTACCTTAGATAACCTACCATTTATTTTAATGCTACCCACCTGAGGGAGGCTCTGCTAATGAATCTATTTTTGTAGTACCATAAAGGTTGAAGTTTAGAGCTAAGTTTAGAGCAGACATATAAAAAATGTCAAACCAGGAAATAGCTTAATGAAAGCAGAGAGTAATCACAGCAAATTACAGAGAAATTTCTATGGGATTACATTTTGCATTCCCCAAACAAGCAGAGGAATTCATCTCACAGCGTCATTCCATTTTGCTGAGAATTCACTGTAAGGATGTGCTACGTAAGTAACATACTGCAATGCCATAAAACCTGTCTTAAAAGTTACAGTCTAAGATGCTTTGCAAAACAGAGCTCAAATTTCTTCCCACTGCAATCCATGGAAAAAATAGGAAGATATGTCACAAAATATCACAGACAAAAAAAATTAATGGTAATATTAGGAGGAATACAAGGCATATGTTTTATTTTGTGGCTACTAATAATGAGATCGCTTTCTATACTCCGTCGTTTAGAAACCAACCAGTAGTGGATGTGGTAAGGAAGTTCACCCCAGGAGAAGAAAGCTCATATTCCTGGTGTGTTTCCAAAAATCACTGCAGAATTTAATCTCTCCCCACTGGCAAACCCAGGTTTTGCACAAGGAGCACCTGGGAAACACCGGGTGGTCAGCACCTCACCTGGCTGCCTCGAACACCTCCTCTGAAACAGTATATACACAGTTTGCATACATACAGTATATATGCCTTCCTCTCCCACCCTGCAGGTTATCTTTCTTTCACCCAGTCGTTACAGCCCACAGTCCAGTAACAAAATAAAAGCAATTTCACATTGCTTTTTACCATATGTAGTGATTTTCCTCTACTTTTCAACAGATCTCCAATATGAGAAGATGCTGGAAACTTTTGACCTCACTTCATAACTATTGCAGAGCTCTGGACGGTTAGTTTAGTGAAAAAAAACATGTTGACTATTGGGTAACAAAGTCATGCAAATCTTTCAAGGCTAATTCTTGATGACAGCCGCTGTAAATACACTGGAACGTGCACAGAGCCAAAGCCTGGTCCTATTAAAAGCAACACAAGTTTCACCACTAAATTCAGCAGGATCTTGAACCTGATGTCCATAATGAGCAGCATGAAATAAGATCTCAGTCCATAAGGAAAAAAAAAAAATAATGAGGCAAAAGAAGTGTGTTAATGGGATATTGTGTATTAACTGTAAGGAGAGGAAATTCATAAACCAGAAGTGTTCCATGGGTCTGCTTAAAATAACCCGTGATTATTTTACATATAAGGTCTACATGATCTGCTACAGAGCAGTTACCCCTTCAGAGAACAGTGTTTTGCAACAGAAAAAGCCTCTTATATTCAGTTTTTCATAAGTTTATAGAGAAGGATACAAAAGGGAAAACAAGATTAGAGACCTCACGCCTGTACAGTTTAATACTTTTAAAATTTACTTACCAATGCTTTGGTGTTTTAACCTCAAATTATTCCACCCAGTTTTTACATTTTCTACAGCACTAAGCCACAGAGCTGTGCTGTCCTCCCCACTCTGCAGAGGGAGGGACAGGAAAATGTACCAAATCTGCCTGAAAGGTTTTGCAATTTTTGCCTCACTACAAGCGGTGTGGACTGACTATTTCTGGGCACAATTCTAACACTGTACCATAGCAAATCCACACTTAGCAGTTGGTACAGTGCCTAAAACAAATTCTGAGACTACTGATTCGATACCAGATCACCTCATACTGATACTATCCCTATGCATTTCTGGGTTGGCTTTCCAAAGGTCAATAGGTCCCAAACTACTTTCCAGCTAACACCTGCTTTCCCCTGTGGGATAAATTACTTTGAGACTCAAACTGTGCAAGACATGGGGTAAAAGTTGCAATTGCAAGCTCGGCCTTCTACGAAGATCAGCTCAAATGCAAGCTTACAACTAGAGAACAAGCTCCCAGGTGCAGTGGAGATGCTAACTCACACTCCAGACCATGCCCAGCTCTTGGGGCCAGGCATAGCAGAGGGGTGGATCAAGGACCAAGGAACCGGTTACTTCCCAGGCTGGGAGTGGGAAGGTGACATCTCATATACGTGAGCAGGAGACATAACAGCAGGGGAGCTCGAGGCTGGTGTCAGTTTTTGTGACTCATGTCCCATGCCTGAGCTTGACAGATCACAAGACTTTTCATTTCCCAGGAAAGTCTTTGCTAATTGTTGTACAGAAGCAAAGGCGCAGGGGACCTTCCAGTTTTGTGTTAATGGGATATTGTGTATTAACTGTAAGGAGAGGAAATTCATAAACCAGAAGTGTTCCATGGGTCTGCTTAAAATAACCCGTGATTATTTTACATATAAGGTCTACATGATCTGCTACAGAGCAGTTACCCCTTCAGAGAACAGTGTTTTGCAACAGAAAAAGCCTCTTATATTCAGTTTTTCATAAGTTTATAGAGAAGGATACAAAAGGGAAAACAAGATTAGAGACCTCACGCCTGTACAGTTTAATACTTTTAAAATTTACTTACCAATGCTTTGGTGTTTTAACCTCAAATTATTCCACCCAGTTTTTACATTTTCTACAGCACTAAGCCACAGAGCTGTGCTGTCCTCCCCACTCTGCAGAGGGAGGGACAGGAAAATGTACCAAATCTGCCTGAAAGGTTTTGCAATTTTTGCCTCACTACAAGCGGTGTGGACTGACTATTTCTGGGCACAATTCTAACACTGTACCATAGCAAATCCACACTTAGCAGTTGGTACAGTGCCTAAAACAAATTCTGAGACTACTGATTCGATACCAGATCACCTCATACTGATACTATCCCTATGCATTTCTGGGTTGGCTTTCCAAAGGTCAATAGGTCCCAAACTACTTTCCAGCTAACACCTGCTTTCCCCTGTGGGATAAATTACTTTGAGACTCAAACTGTGCAAGACATGGGGTAAAAGTTGCAATTGCAAGCTCGGCCTTCTACGAAGATCAGCTCAAATGCAAGCTTACAACTAGAGAACAAGCTCCCAGGTGCAGTGGAGATGCTAACTCACACTCCAGACCATGCCCAGCTCTTGGGGCCAGGCATAGCAGAGGGGTGGATCAAGGACCAAGGAACCGGTTACTTCCCAGGCTGGGAGTGGGAAGGTGACATCTCATATACGTGAGCAGGAGACATAACAGCAGGGGAGCTCGAGGCTGGTGTCAGTTTTTGTGACTCATGTCCCATGCCTGAGCTTGACAGATCACAAGACTTTTCATTTCCCAGGAAAGTCTTTGCTAATTGTTGTACAGAAGCAAAGGCGCAGGGGACCTTCCAGTTTTTGGTGTTGCACGCCACATTAAGAAAAGAAAGATCTCCGTGGAAAGCTAAATCAAACCCCAGAACCTCATTTAGCCTCTTCACTTCCAGAAGAGGCTGAATTCAGGAAGAAAGAATAATCAAAAAAGACACTGCTTAAAAACGAAAATAAGAATGTTTTCATTACCTTTTCTGCAAGCCAGCCTAGATGCCTAATCTCTCGACTTCCAGCAATCCCTGTTTTTCCGAGCTGGTCTCTGACCTCTGCAATCACCCGGGGGATGAGCTCATTGACACTGGAGTGGATGGCATTGAACCAGGCCTGGGCTGTAGCTGAATCCTTACTCCTGAGCACCACGGTGTGCTTGGCATCAGGTGAATGAACTTCAATCAGCCTAGAAAAATTGAGGGGGGGAAACATTATGTTCACTCAAATATCGTTAGGCAGTTTAATTTAGCTTAGTGTTAGCAATGAGTTAAAAAGAAGGATACGAATATCAAGACTTAGCACTAAAAACTTACCTTTACACTTGAATACGGTAGGATTATCTTAACTGAAGCCAGGTCTGCATAGACATTATGGTAAAATCCTTGAGAAAGGGATTTGCCAATGCTGATGCAACCCCACATCTAGCATGTCAATATGAGTTTCAAATATAAAGGCGAGAGGAACGTTTCCCCATTAACATTCACTGACACGGCAACCACCCGGAACTGCCCGTGAGATGACTGCAGAGAAGCTGGGATAAGTTGCTACCTTCTTTAGCTGGCAATCATAGCATGCCCAGGGTTTCTCAAGGTGTTTATTTTACACATGCAGAGCTAAATGAAAACCACCCTCAACCCAAATGGAGGAGTTCTCTTAGGATTGCACTGTGGTTTCAGTGACACCACTAAGCATTAACCAGAAGACTGCTGCAATTGGCCTTATCCAGGAGTTACCAACATTCTTAATGCTCCATTTAGATCCTACTAACAGCAGCAGCAAGGAAGTACTAACCGCAACCCTATGATTGCTGCTGGCAGGCATCTTCTATAGTTTTCCAAACTCCTCTGGACAGAAACGTGTTGGGTTTTTTTCCCAAAACACATGCTTACACGACCATCCTGTGGGCTTCCACTCCACCACCGTGGTTTGAAAAGCACAGATGAACAGTTTTCAAGAAAACGAATCCTGTCCATCATGGTTATGGGACCTGTGCCAACACCTTTGTTAATAACAACAAAAATGCTTTGAGAGGCAGCTACAGCTATTTCAGTTCTGTTCTCAGTGAAGTTATTAGTTACTGGTGGGGCTTTGTGTGCTCTTTATAGCTTTGTGGGCCACTTTTACTTGAACATTTGTTAAATAACCCACTAAGTAGTAGTCTGGTTTATCTTTATATGGTGATTATAAAACCAAGCCCTAGTCATTGCCCATCCCTCAACTCTGCATCACAGTTGTGCTTTTTCATTATACACATACAGTGATTGCCCCTGAACATTACCCAAATGAATCTGACCTGGAATCTGAGCCTAAGCACGTACTTCTGTCCTGTGTATTGTTGCCTGATCTCTGGGACACACAACGACTCCTTTCTGTAGCAGGAAAGTAATTAGTTCAGTGGAATTTATTCAGGTTGAGGTTCAAGACAGTACTGTAATACAAATATTTGTTACGCAATTACAAAATCCTGCAATTTGGAGCTTAGCTAACAATTAAGAGTTTTTAATTAATTGGTTAAACCAGAGCAGAATCCAGAACAGAAGGTGACTTGATCTGCGCTGCTCTGTGGGGCTGGGAGAGCGAGGACCGCTGACCTCGTGTTTGTCCATTTTGGGAAGGGGAGGTCTCCACGTAGACACGGCTCTAAAGATAGAAAAGGTCATGATTTTCCAAACTCAGCAGCTGAACTGTTCAGGGTCCTAAATCACTGTTTGGATAGCTTAAAAAGTGGGTTGATTTTTCAGAAAGCACCGAGGCAACATAATAACACGTGTTTCTTCAGAAAAGCTGCTGGAGCTTAGCACTGTCTGAAAATAGAGGCTCTTATTTAGCTGCTCCAGGATGCACTGAGGATTCAATCTCAGGTATTGAAAAGAAAATTGTGTCAGATTATGCAGGTGTGGTGAATAAGAAAAATATGTTTGTATATGCATGTCCCCAATCACACTCATTTTTTCTGCACTGTGAAAAAAAGGCATCTCCCTGACAGTTATGATTTAGCCATTTCTGACTAATGATGGTTACTACCACACACTGGTCTGTCTTTCCATGAGAAACACTGCTATGCAGCTGCCATATGAACTTGAGTTTGAACTTGTTCCTGTAAGCAGCTATCAATGGAAACAAACTATACAGGCTTGGATTTTCAAAGTATATTGTGGTAATTGGTGAAACATTGCTTAATACTTACAGAGCACTTTATGGCAGGAGATCTGACAGCATTTTACAAATTAGGCCAGTGACAGCATCCCTGTTCCACCACCCAAAAAGTGGAAAGGTGCATAATCCAGATGAGCCAGGGAACAAGCCAGGAGAAGAACTGAGTATTTTCTGCACTCTAACTTTCATTTTAATGTATCTTTTAAAGAGAAAAAAATATCTGGACAGCACAGCAGTATTGTGCTGGTTTTGAAAAATGTTAATGCACTGTATGGATTGTGTGAAACAATGCTCTTAACAAAGCCTGTGGTTTCTATAAGGGAACTCCCACCTCCAGAGTAACCGCCTATCATGCAGTAAACAAAATGCTGAACAAGGACGATAAAGACACAGAAGAATGCGCTGCTTTTTCAGTTGCAAAGAAACAGCAGCAAGCATGTCTCATTTCTTCTTGAGTTAGAGTTGTAGCAGGCTTTTGTTTAAAAATAAATTATCTAGAACTGAACAAGCTTCCAAATGACAGCTCACTTCCTTCCAATTTAGAATTCACTTAAGTTCTTACTTAAAGCAAGTAGATTAACATGCAAACAAGTATTTTGCTACTTGGGCCTTCACCAAAGTGTATTTCCCTTGATGGTGGCTAATTGAGTATTTCTACAAGAGTTCTGTTCTCTAAAAGAACAAACATTTAGTTAGCTCTTAGCCATTCTGTTTAAGCGGTTCTAAACTACATATATTCTAATATATACACAATTTACTGTGATATCAATGTATATATTCTAACATACATATGCACACACACATACTGGGCCATGCTTGCAAAAACAATCTTAAAATATCATCCTGAGGGGCTCCGGTGACTTCTAATGGGGCTATTTTGGGGACTGCTGCTTGTCAGTCATCAACGTTTGATGGTGATGCACTAACAACTGCAGAAAGTCATCTTCATTCCCTCTGCTGAGTGACAGGAAGATTGGACAATACTGCTACACTTCTCAAAAGTAAGTTCAGAATGGGAATAAATGCTGCATTGACGGGTCTGAAACTGAATCCTTTTATCCGCTGCTCCAGCCTGAGGAATATAACTGCAAGCATCATTCCTGTGCAAGCTGCTAGGTAGGGCACCTTTTTTATTCATACCATAAGGCCAAGTGTCTAAGTGTTCAACTGCCTGGACTCTGCTACCGATCTGGGCACTAAAGTTCTATAAGGTCTGAGCACTAAACTACCTTTAAGAAACCAGGCTTCCAGATTCCTGCTCAAGATCCAGGACTTCCATCTCCGCAGTCATTTGGGGCAAAGATACTAACAGAAACTTAGAATCTTCCTGGAAACCCATGGGCTCCAACTGCATCATGTGCTGAAAGCCCTGCATCCCTATAAACTCTTCCCCTTTCTGCCTTTCAGCCTACAGTGCTTTGACTCATCAGTCCATTTGGATGATGCTTTTTGTGTAACAGCTGACTGATGGTATTTCCATATTTTTTGAAAAGCAAAAAAATACCATTGACCTTAGTAAACTCCAACACTAAAGCACTTAAATGTTTGCAGCAGTCCAGCCATTGTAGCTTTGATTTCTTCCTTGGCTAAACTGACCACCGCTTACTGACTTCTGTTTATCTGCAGTTCAGTGATAAAGTTCCCTTAATTCCCCACTGAATTGAAATATTTAGGGCAATGCCACAGCTGTGTTTATTCTCACACTCCGCCACAGTTATGTAAATACTGCATATGGAGCTGCTTCTGATAAAGCCCATACCAACCCAAAGGAATTATATGTTAGTTCTAGATGGCTGCCAAGATGCGCGGCATCTCTCCAGTTTGGCAATGCATATGAATGATATCACATTTTCTCAGAGATCATTTGGCAAACCTTATAATAAAAGAGTTATTTTCTCTCTCCTCCTCAAAGAGTCCCACTGAGCCGAGGAGTGTTTCCAGCATCCCCTTCTCCACCTGCAGAACACGAGGGTGACACAAAACCCGTAGCCTCCAAATGCCATAACCTTGTATGTAGGAGGCCAAAATTCCCTCCCTCACTGCATCTTCCAGAGCCTTTACTTTACAGAGGATCAGAAGAAGTTGAAAGCAAATGTTTGGTAGACCATACTCATTCCACATTTGATAAGGCCTCTTTCTGTAGGAGTGTTCATTATCTGAGAAATACCTTTTATCAAATCTCTTGAAAGAACTTCTCCCACAAGCATTGGCTCAGGACCAAATGAGGCACTGATTTACACTTTCTGACTTTTCTCGGGTCAGATTATGCATTCAGTCACTGATTAAAGTGGGGAGTAAATCCCTTGAAGTTAATGATAAGCTGGAGCCAGAGTTACTTGAGTCCATCATGTTACTTTGATTTTGCACCGGCATAGCCAGGAACAAAACACTCTGCCACTGATTGCACACTTAAAAAGGGGGCAAGGGCCAAACTGCTCATTCCATCTCTTCCATCACTGTCTGCACATGAAACTGTGGTAAGTAATTTTGTTGATTTCTGAGCATACAAACACAGGAGCCTTTCCAGCATAAGGGTGGATTTAAAGTAACACAATCAGCGATCACATTTAAATAGTTGTAGGTTTTGTTATAAAATAAGTCAAAAAACCCTGTCAAGGTTCTTTTTCAATTCTACATGCAGCATCAGGAGATGAACCAGGAACAAAACACATTAAAATTAAGCAGTGGAAACTTTGGGTTTAGTCTGCAAGGAAAATATTTCATAGAGAGACTTTAGGCTTGCAATGAATTCCCCAGCATACACTGAAGAACTACCTTCATTTTATCCACCTAAACAGAGGTGAAAGCAATTTTACCAAGCCAGTGCTATTTGGCAATCAAGTGGAATTTTTCTATGTAAAGTCTCAGACTCCTCACTGTCAGGTACCTGCTGTATTAACAATTGCTGACTTTCAACTTATGGTGGTAAAAGTGATGTAGTTACTTGTTTCTTGGGAGCTGGATTAGACTGATGTCCAAACAGAGGGTGTATATGAGCTGTCACAGTTGATTTCATTACTATTTGCCACC